AACTATTTGCTTTCTAATTTAAATTTAAGAATTTAATGTGTTAATTTTAGGCCTTTGCTATGACACAATATCCGGAGAAAAGGCTAGCTGAAATGGATCCGCGAAGAGTTACCTCTGTTGCCTGAATGGCACCGCAAATACCGTAGGCCGTTCTGAGCTCTCGGCTTCCTTCCTTGAAAACACATCTACAGCTGTCAATGTGATATTTAGAGCTGTTCTGTTCTCTGCAACTGCATATAGCCTTTTTGCCGTACTCGGAGTGTACTTTTCCAGTTCCCCAACAGCCCACATATTTGTAATTCGTTCCCCCCGGTTGGTGTTTATCCCCCCCATCATTCTTATTTCATCGTAGGCGCACAAATCGTGCGGCTATTAATAAAATTTTTCAATGAATAAGAGATAGCTTGGCGGGAAACGCATTGTGAATGCGAGGAAGTCGACGGCCAGGACTCTAAATTGTTATTCCAGGCAATCCCCCATTTTTCTATTTCCCGTTCCCGCTAAAAATCACAGAACCTAAGTGTTTACATAATTTTCAAGTTGGAGACCTTTTCATAAAGGGCTCTCGAGATATTCTGAGAAAAGCACACAGCACCGCATTTCCGGTAGTCCTAGGAGCGTTTTCAAGGGGCCGGCAAGAGAAAGCTGCATTTTCTAACAAGGGAACCTCACCCGGACAGGGTGGAATTTCGAAAAACGCTCGCGGCTACCCCCAGGTAATCGGCCATTGCGATCACGATGCGCTTGTCAGATTTTTCTGAACACACCTGTGGACAGAGATACAGCACTTCCGGAAAATACTGATTTACATGCAAAAATTAGCATAGCTGAATGGTTTATGAGGCTCTCCCATCACTATGGAATCACCAGTTGAATGGCCGAGTGGTAAGCGACTCGCTTGATAGGATTATGACCAGGGTACGGACCCGCTTACGGCTTTTACGTTTTGCTTTTTGGCTAGCGATTTTTGCACAAGTCCAGAATGTTACTACCATTAGCAAAAACCGAACTATTGTATTTCATGACTGTATTTCATGACTAGCCATAAAGATAAAGAATTCGAAAAACGAAAATTGGATGTTCCGGCTGGTGGGTCCCACATCTTTCTGCCAAAAAGCCAAAATTTTGAATGAACAATCTTTTGACTTCGGAGTATGCACAACTCCCAAAACGTGGTAAGCACTTAAATACATATGATTCTGGACTTCTGCCAAAAATCGCTGGCCAAAAAGCAAAACGAAAAAGCCGTGAGCGGGTCCGTACCCTGGTCATAATCCTATCAAGCGAGTCGCTTACCACTCGGCCATTCAACTGGTGATTCCATAGTGATGGGAGAGCCTCATAAACCATTCAGCTATGCTAATTTTTTGCATGTAAATCAGTATTTTCCGGAAGTGCTGTATCTCTGTCCACAGGTGTGTTCAGAAAAATCTGACAAGCGCATCGTGATCGCAATGGCCGATTACCTGGGGGTAGCCGCGAGCGTTTTTCGAAATTCCACCCTGTCCGGGTGAGGTTCCCTTGTAAGCTGTGGATTCCCAAATTAACGCGCGCAACACGTGACGCACAACGGCCCAAAGGAAACCTATCATCTTGCCTTTCAGAAACCTTTAATTTTCGAGTCTTCCGTTCTTGTAGATCACCAGCTTTGCGGCGCGCAACGCGTGAGCCGTCTACCAATTCTTGGAAAGTTACCCCTGCCGCGCCAAAGTCATTATTTCACAACCATTTCACATTATCTCACTTCAGCGTTTGGCTACCTAATTTTACGCCAAAATAACTGACATATTAGCTTCGAGACCATTCTTACAAACTTTGACTTCATTTCTCGCGGCTTCGCTCCCCTTTTTCGAAGCTACAATACATTAAACGTCCCCGGCGAAAACCCCGCTCTGTTTTCCCAGAACGCCAGCGCATTCTATGCCAATTAGGGTGGCGCCAATACCAAAATCGAAATTCAAACCTACCCGCTAATTTCTAAGTCTACCAGCGTTTTTGAATGTGAATTTGTGCCTCTACTCTGCGACGATACCTATATATCTCCCATTGCACTACTTTTCTTGTATAAATGGATGCTTTTGCGATGTACGTCAGTCGGCTGGCGGTGGTAAAGGGCACCATATTAATTTTACTATCGATTCCGACGTGCTGGTTGACGACGCTGGTCTCGGTGCACTTCATAAAAAGCCGAGCGGTCAACCCGTACTCAAAGATATGCATTACGCTGTGCATTACGGTATGAAAACCTCGCCAACTTCGACGTAATTCGGGTCAATTCAGGACATCTTCACATTATACGTTGACATTTTTGCCTGGGACGTCGCGACGTCGGATATGTTCAATTTTAGCGCTATCCAGGTCTGAAAAACCTGCAGTTGACCCTATCCTTATTAAGATAGGCTTTGTCCCGTACTTCCTGACGTTTTTCCAAAACTTTAATCGCAGTTTTCAACTGCTATGCGCAATCCTGATCGCGGCCAATCGATACACGACGCTTTATTGGAGTGCGGGTGATCATGAACTGGTATTGGAGGCGCAAAATCGATTAATGGATCGTTTTTGCAGCTCTGGGATCGTTTTACCGGGTTAATTCTGTTTATATGCGCCGTGATATCAGCCGGAAAGGCTACGGTCTATACGGTACAAGGTACGAAGTACATCCTGATTACGCCATGTATATGGTTGCTCGAGGCGGGTCAGGGAGAGATTGTGAGTTTTTAAGAAACCTGCATGAGGGATGGTTGGAGTGACTTCGAATCTCATAAATAAAAATGTTGGACGAACGCTTTTTAATTCTGACGATCTCGAATTTCGATAATTCAGGGATTTACGAAGGCTCAGTGCCTTTTCCAGGTTTTCGGAATTTTGAAATTTGAAGGTTTCGATTCGGCTACTCGGTCGACAATCGCGCACGATATCGGCATGTGCATAGGAGTATGGCGTGGTCAGAACTACGCCAGGCTCCGTTTTGCGCAGTTCTGTGTTACAAACCTAATGCCATACTGCGCAAGAAGGGAGCGCAGCGTAGTGCTGGGAACCCCGTACTCCTATGTACACACCGAAGCGGTGCACGATGCTCTCTAACTTTCGGAATTCACTTTTCATATTTCACTTCTTTAAAAACCCTAATTTTTAGATTATCGAAATCTCACCTTTTTTAGTTTGGTATCAGAACCGGTGTCGTATTCGTGGGCGATGCCACCTTCCTTGCAATTATCGGTTTTCTTATTAACATCCTCGTGGTCATAAAGCTGGTCAGGCTAAAGAGCGAATCACAAGGCAACAAATCCATCTCGACGGCCGAACGCCGATTATGCTTTGCTAGTATCTATACCTTTACATTTTGGCTGGCATATACTCTGGGCCAGGTAAGACACGTTGGCTCTTGCCGAAGTTGGCTTTTATAGCTCGGGAATGTAACAATGTCGGAGGAAAATACGTTGAGACCTTATGTGATGGTAAGCTGTCGCTGTGCGCCCTATAGCTTCTTTAATACAGTGGCAACGGTGAGCATAGGACTCCAATCAATAGCTACCATATGGATTTGGGTTTGGCATTCGGCCATTTTGCGACGCGTTGTGAGGAAGAATATTTTGTGGCTATGCGTTACGTTCGGAGGCATGCCTACGGTATGTGTTTCTGTATTTACCTCACGATTTCTCACACGCTCGCTCTCTCTCTATCTCTCTATCTCCCTCTTTCTCTCTCTCGCTCATGCTCTCACGCTCCGTCTCTCTCCACCAATTTATGTCCCGCTTTTAGGCGCAAGATTAAAGCAGCGCCTAAGCCTTCCCCAACCTCTCATCTAAGCCTAAGCCTACGCCCAAGCCCAGACCTATGCCTAGCTTAAGCCTAAACCTCAGCCTAACCCCAACCTCTGAATGATATCACAAATTTTAGAACTACTCCATGACCCAAATCCCAGAAAAAGTGGCCCCGATCACGTCAGTAAAACTTGCCGCCCCGGTCCGCTGATCTCGGAAGCCACCAACAAAAAGCTGACGACACATGGCTTCGAGCAACAATCACTTTTTCCTCTTTTTTTTTCGAATTCGAACCTAACATCAGGATCCCTAGCTTTATAATGAGCTAGAAGAGACAAAGTGTCGTTCCCGCGGCGACGTGACGCCAAAATTACGGGTGGCGAATAAACACCGTTTTCCGCCAAGTTCAAGCTGTTGGGCTGTAATTTGGGTTACTAATACCTATCTTTGTCTGCACACAATGGTCCTATCTGGGTTCGGGAATCGTAAAATCGGGAAACCCGCAATTTTCAAAGGGCGCTTGTTTTTTTCGTTACTGGGGCCGTCTGGCGGGAGAAAAGCTGTACCAAGTATTGTTGTTTTCATTTCCGGTAATTTTGGGGGATGTTACGACCGGTGAAAAACTCATGGAAAAGCGTGAATACGGGGGAAATCTTTTATTTTCACTCTTTGAATAATTGATGAGATTTAGGATGCATATCAATCGAGATCCGGTGACTAAAAAACGTTGAGATCATTGCGTAGGTCATGGCAGTGCTCGTAGGAAAATGCGTGAGAAATTCAAGGGTTCGGGAAGCATGGAAACGAGTTTGGAGGCTCATTAAGGCGTGTAAACTGAACAATTTAGAAAACGCAAAAAAAACAAGATTTAAAGGGATTCAAATTTAATCTGGGGAAAAGAATCACAAAAAACGAGGCAGAGGGGAGGGCGTAGAAGCTAGGTAAGACACGGAAAAGGATCCGGGGGCAAAACGAGAGCAAAAAGCTGAAATTCCACGACGGCATTTGCGCATTAATGGGTGCCTATACCGTTTCATAATACTGTACTGTAAAGCTGAGGTTGGATACTTATGAAAATATTGTCATAATCTCGTTTCGTAATCTTTGAAGGGATTGTGAAGGCAAATTTCAAAAGATAGGGGTCGTAAATTGCATATTTAAGCTTCTGGATCCCATCATAACTTGTATATTAATCTTCTTTACCTTCACAAGCCCTTTAAAAAAATCCATTTCCTAGGCAATGGCACCCTTGTGCGTTAAAAACTCCAGCAAAGTCTCGATCTCGACATTAATGTTGGCAGTAGCTCGTCGGATCCGTTGCGCAATCTCGTTCGTCTCCGAGTCGTCAAACGACCGCCCGCAAAATGAGGCTACCATCGCTTGCGCGTGCGCGTCGTCACTGAAAAAAATTCAAAATGGGAAAACGTTACGATAACCAGAGCAGGTTTTCGACCTCACACCACGCTTAGCGATTCTGATTCATCGCCGAGGTACAATTTTGATTGTTTTCGCCGGCGTACCGAGCGAAAATAGACATTTTCAATCTCGTTTCGACGAATCGAAAAAAGCGCACTGCACACGACAACAACCAAAAAAAATGCCGACGCGTTAAGAAAGCTGGAAAAGGAAATGTTGGTTCGAAGATTGGCGGTCGCTTGCGAAAATTCATCAAAAATTCAAAAATTTCAAAAACCGGTTCAATTTTTTAGCGTAATCATAGAAAAGTGACTCGGACATATATAAATTTTATGCTGTTTTTGGGTGCAGAAAAGGTGTAGAATAAAAAGAATGCGTTATTGGGTAGAATCTCATGGTTTTCGACGAAACGACAGTAACAGAGTGTGCAAAGAAAGCGAAAGCGGGGTACCTGGCCACCGACATGTTCGAGCCGTTCTTCTTCTGGTCGTGGGTGGAGGAGCGCATCAACAGCTTGTCGCGCAGCTCATGCATGTCGATGAAGCTTCTACGTTTTGAGGGGGTGGACCGGATTTTGTGCGGGGTGGCGGTGAGGTCGAGCTGAAAATGCAAATTAGGATTAAATTTTGATCGTCCGCAACTTCCTAATTTTGTCTCTCTAAGGACGCTCTCTTGACCTACCGGGCTGTAAAGTGTACCAAAATGTTCGCCCTAGCCTATAGAATCGGAATAAAACAACGTAGTGTCCGATATTTAGAGAATGATTCCAGAATTCGACAGAACGGCCCAAAAATTCTCACCTGTTTCAACGCGTCGTTCAACTCCCCGCACTTCACCCGTATCTCAGAATAGTGCAGAATAGCATTCTTGACGATTTCGTGAATCTCAGCGACCCAGAATTTCATAGAGAGCCCCAGCGCTCTTCGGCATTCGTTGATAAACGATTGGGATTGAGCGACGGCCTAAAAATAAGTAAATGTTCTACTCTTTTACTTAATTTTTGTAAACAATAGATTTAATTATTGTCAATTATAATTCGGGCTTTGCCTAAGACATACCTTATCTAGGTTGTGATCATTCCACATCTTCAAATATTCTCCCTTGTGATCGACATGGGGTGACCAATCCATTATTGCTGACCAGTCTTTCATCAGGAGAGGCTCGACCTGGAAAATCATTTTTAATGTAGGAAAACAAGGTTTTGAAGAAGTGATGTGATTTAAAGGGATGAGGAAGGCCCAGGAAAAAGTAGCATAAAACGAGGATTAGTTCTAAAATTAGTATAAAGCTTCTCTGTTGCTCCTGCCTCGCGCACTCGCTGCCCATTTTTCTTGAATTTGCGTTTCCGGTTGGCCGGCTGCCAATTACAAATGAGCCCTGATCTACTGGGCCATCCTTATTCCTTTAAGATATCCATTTCAGGTATTCTAATGCGGTTTTTTGCTAGATACGTCGATTTAATGGGTCCGAATGTATATTTTTCCTGAACATGCTCCACTAATAACGTCAGTGTATTTCGTAAAAAAATTAGCTTGTAGCATAGGTTGTCTATATACACAAAATTATGCCATTGGGAGCAACAAATTCATCCAGCTTTTGTACTTACCTTAATTCCAGCCTGCAACATACACAAAATTCCTTGCTTCGTGTACAAATCTCCCCGATTCAGGTGTGGATACAAAAATTTGACCGTCATCTTCACGTCCACTTTGCTCAACTCTTTTCGGACCTAAATTTCAAAATTTAATATGGAATTTAGGGTTACATACCTTCGACAACAACAATCCCAGCAATTTCGCACAAGCCTTGTTGCTCTTGCACTCGTCTATCACTTCGCATTTCGGGTCGCAGTCCTGGTGAAAGCACGGGGATTTTGAGACGAAGATGACGATTTCGTAGAGGTCGACCTAAAAATCTGTGATTTTTACAAATAGCTGTACAACCTTGTATTTCGAGATTAAATCATAAATTGCTGCTACAAGTTGCTCCTCGACGTGGGGCTCACTTTTTGATTCGTGGTAGAAATCGCCTCTATAGATGTAGTCTTCTCCTAAAAACAGCGCTGCTATTATACAAGTTTGTGCTTCGGCAGCTTTTTCAATGATCTCGGCACGCTGACCCTTGCAAAGAGTTAAATTTCATTTTTTCAAAGCCTATTTTAATTGATTTAATTAAACTTCAAACTTTCAAAATTCTCAGGATCGGTGATTCTTTTGCCCCAGAAAACGACAGACTTTCCCTAACAGGCTTTGATAGTTGACTTTGTGCTTTCTAATAGCATCGAGGAGTAATCTGAATAATTTTTAGTCCTTTGGTTGGTTTAATCAATAATTTTTTGTTTTCTCGAAACATTCGTTTGGATTCCGATAACTGACCATGAAAAATAACTTATAGAATCAACGCAAAAACCTCTGTGAGTATGACTAATTTGGTACAAGTCCTGAAATCTGGCAGCTTTAAAAGCTACCCAACACCCACCTATTAATGTGACTATCAACCCGCTGCTCTCATGCTTGTGCTCCAGGAAGCAATTTTGGACATGTTTCGGCACATGGAATTTCGAAGGGCCGTTCGTGCAGTCGCCACAGCATTTGCATCTGAAAATCGGCGGGTGATTGACGGATTTTTGGGGATCTGGTATGCGGCAGCACGTGACCTCCCTTTCCTGATAACCGCTTCAGTGCCCCTCCCTGCATCGCCGCCATAGCTCAGTTGGTTAGAGCGTGGGTCTAATAAGCCCAAGGTCGCAGGTTCGACCCCTGCTGGCGGCAAATTTTTTGCTTTTGGAGATTTAGGTTCGTTTTCCTGTTTCAGACTTGATCAGGAGGGCAGGATATACATTTTGAGCTGTACGAAACTACTAGAAGAAGTTCAGGCTTTGGTTTTTAGGTTTTAGTCGCATTTTCGAGGACAGTGAATTATTAATGGAGGAAATGCCGGGTTTTGATGCTTTCTAAGTTATTTTTTACGCTTTTTATACGCAACAAAGCGGAATGTGCTGGTGCATTGCTATTTTAAAAGCATGAAGGCGAAAAGGCTTCAAAAAAAGATGTCAATCGACCAAATAAATGTCGCCCTGAGTTCCAGCTAAAATCCTCTTCCAGTTTTTTTTACATCCTCTGGCTGTAGACTACAAAAAAAATATCAACTTTCGGTTCGAAATCCTCGTTTTCGTGCCAGCCGGGAACCCCCTCATTGCCCAGGTGAAGGGCCCAGGTGCCCTTGATCCGTCTGCAATCCCCCCGTGGGCTAGGGGCAGATTTGGAGCGCAACCAATCCCAATCCTGACGCGGCTCACGCTGTTTTGGTCCCGAGGGGGCCCCGTTCGGACGGGCGAGGTGGTGCTAATTATAATGTGTGTGTGTCCGGTGGTTCCTGGGTTCCCTAGCCCTCCCTAGCCGAGAGCACAGCTGGCACTTGGCTGGGGTAGGGGGCCCTGCAGAGAAGGGACCCTTGAAAGGGCTGAACACCCGGGACAATGGCCCGCATTCCCCGCTGCTTCAATGAACACACACGCTCACGCAGAGGGCTGGCGGATTTTCAGGATTGACTGGCAAATGGGTTGTCAGTGGTCAAGAGATTGGAAACTGCGAATTTAGGAGGAATTCCGGATCTTAGGAAGTCTAAAGCGTGGGCGTGGATTTTATCGTAAACGATGAAAATGGAAGCGTTGGTAGCCGTATTCAAGAATTGAGGATCGAAATAAAAAGACTTTAAAAATTTCATAGCGGCCAATTCGCAAGCGTAGTGGCTCTCGCGTTAAAAGGGGTGATCAAAGGGATAAAAATCTAGCTTTTGTTGCTAAAAAAACGTATTCGCAACCCAAAAAACTGGCTCACCCTCAACAACGTGCCTAAAGCCCAAAAAGCAAAAAATTTGCCGCCAGCAGGGGTCGAACCTGCGACCTTGGGCTTATTAGACCCACGCTCTAACCAACTGAGCTATGGCGGCCAGGGGGTCGGGTAGCGGCAGGGGGCCTGTGAGACTTACTCGCCAGGACAATGACTGGCTCTTATCGTTTCCATTTTTGACATTTTTGCGGGCCAAAAACGTAAAGAGGAGAGGAGCGTAACTTGATTTCGTAACGTGAAAATTTGCCAGCTTTCAGGCTGTAGTATATGGAAAACTAAGGCCTGACAAAACCAAGTCAATTGCAGATTTTTCTGAATTTCAAAGAGACTTCCAGATTCTATATTCAAATCCATCTTCATCTCCATTTTCGCCGCTTTCTAATATTTGCCCCCAGTGGGCTCACAAACCGAATCCCTTGGCCCGGGCCCGGCCGGGATATTGGGCCCTAGATGGGAGGCTGTCATCGGATAGGAGCCAGGGCCCCCGACCGCATAAAGGCCCATCGCCCCAATTCTCCCACTCAATCACCACCCCGAAATTTGGAGAATTGCGGGCGGCCCATATCGGGCATTCCGGCGAATCTCGGGAGAAATTCCGAGCAGGGTGTAAATTGGCTGGCGAGCGCCCCAGACCCGGCTTGTTTTTGAAGAGGGTATTGGCAAACGGCCCGAGGCTATTTAGAACGATTTTGGGGTTGCTGGAGGATAGGAGATGGGAATTAAAGGGATAGTGACAGCCAGCTTTTTGCATAAAAATCTCAAAAGCTATGAGAATCAGATACTATCGAGGTAAGTTCCGATAGTCGAGAAGAGAGAGAGAGAGAGAGAGAGAGAGAGAGAGAGAAAGAGATGCAGAGAGAAAGCAAGCGGCATAGTTCGGCAAAAACCCACGCAGATGAGCAAAATTCGTAAACGCTCCGACACGGGCACTCCTTTTTCACGCACTGCTTCTTGCTCTTCGCACAATTGCAACCTTGGGCGGGTTTTGTGACTTTTTGAATCTTCTTGAGGGGTTGTTCCTGTAATAGCAATAATTTTACGTGATTCTAACTTGTAGAACAAGCCTTAAATACCTATTACAAGGTCCACATCACTTGAAATCCGGCTTTACCTACCTTATTCTTGCAGATCTGCTTGCAGGCGCAAAGCTTCGAGCAACCCTCTTTGATTCGAAGGCAGTCACACCTAAAAAAGTGGTTACCCAGGATGAAGGATAATTTCGAACCTTTCGCTCTTGCTGCACGCGTTCTTCGCCGGCTTGGCCGGGTCCACCTCACACGAGCACTTGCAGATGGCCTGATTCAAGCAGTCGCCTCGATATCTGGAATTTTTGCACCGTCTTACGCGCTACTAAGAGAAATCGAAGCTCCTATTAACTAACCAGAATTTTTTGGCGCTCTTAAAAGATCAGGAAAGTCTAAATAAGCACCATAAATCCGTTTGTTTTCTAGAGCAAAACATTTTTCTGTAAAATTTAGCGACTAATAGTGTTTAATGTTTAATTTAAAAGTTGCCTTAGCCGCGGCTTTTCACTCAGCATTTTACAGCATTTCCCAAAGCCTGATTGATGGCCACCTAATTTTTTATGACCGCAACCCCGCAATTTTGCGACTAGACGGCGCGGCTGGCCAGGTGGATTAGGAGAAGCGTGCGAAAAGGCAGCCCTCTTTTTCTAACTTGGCTGGGCACTCAAGTTGAGAGGAACGCCTCGGGGTTTTCGGGCCCAAGACTATAGAAGCCGGAAATAGACGTAAATTGGGCTGAGAAATCCGTTGTAATAGACAGGAGCCTTGTGAATCCACCCTTGAAGCGTTTGGGTATCGACAACTACGATCAAAATTTAGCATAAATGAGTTTTTGGCCCGTTGCGTAGCTGTCGACACCACGAAGATAAAGAGGATAGATTTTCGGGCTTTCTAGTACCTTTAAACCCATACCTGGCCGATTCGCAGTGTTCGTCGCACATCCGCCGAGAAGCGACGCATGGACAAGTGTCGGCCGAGCATCGGGACTGTAAAAAATCAGTTTTAGTGCGAAAAATTGTTTTTTTTTAGTCGCTTGAGACTTTTATCAATGGACTGGAAACAAAAAAGGAGCTTTTCTAATACGCCAGTTCCTTTAAAAAAAACGCAAAGCTTTTTTTAGATGAGTTGAAGCTTTATTTCTCAAAAATGGCAAAAAGTATGACTTTAAGGTGAATTAATACAATTTAATCTGAATACGGGCAGTCTAGGTATGAATTCCTATTCCGAAAATTTTACTGCTTCAGTCTCATTTTCCTAAACAGCTATGCAAATTTGTGATAGCAGGCATCCTAATTTTCATTTGGAAATCAAAAAATGGAACATTCACCTCCAACATCGAAAACTAGAGAGAAAACTCATAATCGTACGCCTTGGAAAATTGTGGAAAAAGCTCCAGAAGCTTCTGATGAGCGTGGGAATTCTCCAGATAAATTCAGAAGAGTCACTTCCCAACAAAAAATTCCAAAAACTACCTGTGACGCGGCACATTCACAGCAGTAATTCGCAGCCTGCTGGCCGCCCGGTCTGCTCATCGCATGCGTGTAGCTGGTGATGGAGCTGGTGGTGTTGAGGTGGGGAAGTGGATGGCCGGGGGTGTGGTGGTGGTGCAGCTGTGGCTGCTGTGGGTGTTCCCCTCGGGTCGTCGTGCTCTCGCTCATCGATTCGGCCATCGACCGCCCGCCCACACTCTGCAACGGCAAGGAGGGCGTCTCTGCGAGGCTTCTCTTCTAGGCGGTACCCCCTCCCCTGCCAGGGGTACTGCCTTCCGAATAGAACGCCACCCCGCGAATTAGGGCCAGGTGGTCGGGGCCAGGTATGGGCCACGGGGCCCATACAGGGCCACGAAATGGAAAATTGATTTGTTTAAGGGAGTGGGAGGATAGGGTCGAGTTCTTCCGCTTATGAGTATCTTAGTAATGAGAAGCGTAGTGATCACTGAGATCTAGTCATTTATGGAATGTTCTCAAGTAGCTTAATAAAAGGAGCGAGAACGTATCTACCGTAGTCAACTGGAGTTCGGTAGCGCCTTCAAAAAATGCTGCAAATGCCTAATTCATTATTTTTGGCATTTAGCGGAATTTTCTACTATGGACCGAAAAATCTTTTTGGCTGTAGATTGTGGAGGGATTTTCCGACGCGACACGCAACGCGAGTGCTTGTCGGTCACGATCTGGTGCTGGGCGCACGCGTCGCGTGTCGCGGCCACGGCAAGACCAGTACCATTCTACTGCCAAATAGATGTTTCCATGCCTTACACGCCCCTTTAAGGAGCATAATAAAGTGAACAAAAATCAGGATACTTTTCGATTTTAGCGCTTCAAGTCAATTAATTTAACAGGAAAAAGCCCAGCTACTGACTGCCATTGAAGTTAATAAAAACAGAGGAATTTTTGGTAATTTAACGGCTTAAGCAATACTTTAAATTTTGCGAATTCTTCCTCAGGTCATAAATTAGCTTCCATTACCAATTTGCCACCCTTTCCTCACTTCTCATCCCATCCGAAGCGTGTCTACTACCCGGGTCCAAAGTGTCAGACATGCCTTCCGGTCAGTCACCCATTCTCGCTCCGTCTGTTCGTCTATCCATCTGTTTGTCTCTCTCTCTCACTCTCTCTCTCTCTCTCTCTCTCTCTCTCTCTCTCGTTCCCGTTTGTCACTCTGTCTCCCTCACCACACCCCATCAACACATTACCCTCTCTATACACGCCTAATGGGGGCTGGGGGTCCTGCCACGCCTTCTTCTTCCCCACTTTCACCCCTGGGCCCCGGGTCCCCCCAACCTCCACCCCACCCCCAAATTGAATAAATTCTTAAACGGCTTACGTTACGCACGGCGCGCCGGGATTGGTTTTTAGGGGCATAGGGGAGAGGTTTGGTGAAAGCTGGCTTGTCTGGTAAATGGGGTGGTTGGATCTGCGGATTTGAAGGATGCGGTAGGATCCTTTAGCTTCCTTTGAAAGCTCTATTAATCATAAATAGAACAAAAAATTATTTAGTTTTATTACAAAATCAAGTAAAAATTTTCATGAATGCGTTTAGCAGAAGGGAAAGTATGTTTTCACACTTCAAAAAAAAATGCGCTAGCGGCCCTAACAATCTGATTGGGGCGACCTAAATCCTGATCTAAAACCGACAACTAAAAAAATCGTTATCTTTGAAGGTTGTGTTAAAGGGGCGGGCAAGGCCGGACTCCGGCTTCCTATGGTTGCACCACAGTTATTACCGTGCAGCGATACGCAACGCACACGCACGTGCTTCCACAGCGTAATGGATTACGATGCCTTGCAAGCGCGGGCAAGTCGTGCGCGTTGCGTGACGTCGCGAACAAACATGCTGAAAATCTATGACCCGAAATATCCTTATTTGTCACTTGCCCAGACCTTTGAAGGTTTTTGCTAGGTAAAAGGTAGAAAACTTGATGTATCACTAACTAGCTTTAAAAGGAGAAAGAACCCCATCCAGCGCTCATCTCGCTTTGGATGCTTTGGATGCGTGGTTGCGTCTAGCAAGCCAGGCATCAAACTACAAATCCCAGATTTTACCTTGTAAATATGGAAAGAAACACTAGAATATTCGATATCTCGGTTCCGGAAAAACACGCACTCAAGTAATGGGATGGAATGGAATGAAATTGGAAAGTATGGGGGGTTGGGGTGTGGTGTCGGTGTTGGTGGAAATGGATTGGAACGGATCCTCCGATGGCCAAAGCGGGAGGAGGGGCTGTAATTAGTGTGGGGTAAGGGGAGGAGATGAGTCTCATCTAGGGCCCTCGTTCACCCGCCGCACCGAACGAGGGATTAGAATTTTCTATTCCGTACTACTACCAGCTACAAGGGGTTACAATTGACGGCTAGGGTTTAACGACTTAAGAGGCTGTGAAGCCATTTTCTAGCAGAATTGTACTTATTTTCGGTCGGCACTGGGGTTTAAAGGGCCGCGAAAGTCTAGGCACGAACCCTTGTTCTTGCGTGATGGATTCCAGTCCCCCAAGATAAGCAGCACGCCCTCGCGTGTTGCGTTGCGGCCAAAACCGCTAAAAACGAGAAAAACGTTTGTTCGAGCCTTTAGAGGGGCTCCGAAATCTGGCCCGCGGCCCCCGCGTTGATTCCGGATACTAATAGCCAGGTACCTCCGCAACGCAACCGCGCAGCATCATCTTTTGCCTCTGTTTAGGCATGAAAACGCTTAAATTCGTCGCTATCTCTTGAATCCTCATCGAATTTTAGCCATTCTAACCTTTTTAATTATGAAAATTGTCCAGAAAATCACCGAGATCGATAGATTGGGCGCTTTTTATGGAATTGCGACATGTAATCGCCGCGCGCTCAAAAATTCGTTTTTGGCCCTAAAACATTTCGGTTTTTCTCAGAAATTTTGCCTTTTTCGCAATGAATCATTTTCTATTACTTTTCGGCCGTAACCCTTTCCTTATTTGACCTAGGTTCAATCCCCGCCTACGCGAATTATGACTTGCGCGCCCCTTTAGGCTGGGATTCTCCGTTCTAGCCGTGACACGCGACGCACCTAATGATATGTGCATTGCATAATGGAGGACAGTCTTTTAAAAGTTTTCAAGCGGTGCGTCCGCGCTGCGTATCGCGGGCCCGGCCAGAGTTGTGGATGAATCAATCCATAATAAAATCAGGCGCGCGTTGCGTGTCGCGTGACGGACGGCAAAGTTTTTTGAAGATCTATAAGCTGGCCTTACGAGTTCCTTGAAGCGCTTAAAGGTCCATCAAAATCAAATTTCTCTCCAATTTCCTATTTCGTGTCTAATTTTATCCGATTTTTGCAGACCCTACCAAATAAGTGCTCCCATATCGCTCCCCGGTCGATAGCGTGATCTCACTCATCTCGCTGCGCGGCGTGCCCGTGTTTTCGGAAACTGACTTCGCCGTTGCACCCTAAATTTGGGGTCTCGACGACACACACACGCGGAAAGACACCGGAAATGAAATTCGGTCCGGCCCTGCGAAAGGAGAACGAGAAGCTGTAAGTGGGCCCGCGGTCCCCGGGATGCAAACGGATTTTTTTTTCTTGAGGTGTGTCGGCAAGTGGGGAAAATTGTTTACTTTCAAAGGTACGAGCGTTTTAAAGGGACTTGCAAGGCACGGATAAAGTTAAGGATACGTTATATTAATGCAAAAATATGAAATAGTACAAAACATGCCCTTTCAAGGACATCCAAACATAATGGCCGTAGGCTGAGTCGGAAGCCGGATATGCGGAGCGTTGTGAGTGGTAGGCGAAGGGCTTTTGTTTCGGATGAAAATTCCCAGGGGACACGGTTTCTGCCCATCCACCACCCCCGGGCCCCAAGAGAGGGGGGAGGGGGGCTCGTGGCCAACCCAACCCGCTTGGGATGAGCCCCAAACCGGTGCTCATCTATCAAGAGAACATACACACAAGAGATGCATATTGGGCGGATGCCAAGAATAAGAACAAAAATATGCTGTAGCTAATACGGAAAAATCCTGTTTTTGGTCTTCGAGAGTAAGTATCAAATGTAATCCTAAGCAGGCCTTGACAACGGGCCGGGCCGCAAGGCCCGGCCCGAGGCCCGGCCCGGCCCGGCCCGGCCCGGCCCGGACCGGGCCGGGCCCAAACTTGGCGGGCCCGGGCCGGGCCCGGGCCTGGACTTGGAGGTCCGGGCCGGGCCGGGCCGGGCCCGCTAGGCCCGGTCCAGTCCTGGACGATGATTTTCGGAGAAAATTTTTCGAATTCTGAACCAAAAAACGATTTTTTTTTCGACTTCGTTCACATTTTTTCAAATTTTTTTCGTTAATTTGTGCTTTCGTTCTAAAAAGTCAATAAGTGACGGTATCCGGGTAATTGACAGCCCTGGTTTGTAGCTTTTTAGAAGCTCTAGGAGGTTTATAAGCCGGAATTAAGTTGCTTTTGGCCTGAATGGACTAGCAGGAACTTTTAGGATGGTTTACAACCTGATGTAGGGTATTTCAGGATCAGCTTTATAGATCTTAGCCGAAAAACGGCAGAACACATACAAAAATTGTCGGTAGTTGACCTGACTATTGGCCGGCACCAATAGATTTGTAAATAGTTTTCAAAAAGTTTGTAAAGTTTTTATATGCAGAATTAGTTAAAAACTGTTTCAAAAGTATTGCCGCGATTTATATCCAAAAAACCCGTCACAGGCCAAAAAAATTTGATCCGTCCGCCCTGGCCTTAGTTAGTACCGGGCCGACCAGGCCCGGCCGCACCGGCCCGGCCCAGGCCCGGACCCGGGCCGGGCCGGGCCCGGGCCGAAATTCCAGATTGGCCGGGCCGGGCCGGGCCCGGCGCCTGGCTGGCGACCGCCCGGGCCCGGCCCGGCCCGGCCCGTTGTCAAGGCCTGATCCTAAGTAAGCAAAGCAGCATCTCCGGACTCTCTCTCCACCTCTCGCTCTCTCTCCCTCTCGCTAGCTTTTCTTCCAAAATTTTACATGGAAATGTCTTTATTGGCGACAGTATCGGCAGCGAGCTTCATACGGTAGCGTACAGCAGCGAAAAAGGAGAGAAAATAGAATTGATATGGCGGCACCAATTCGACCAGAACTCATCAATTTCAGTAAAGGGTAATGAGATTCGTTGGCAATTCACGTCGGTTCATAAATCAAGGAGGGAAAATTGCTGCACAACAAATTGAAGGTTATTTGAGGGTGATGGTGGCTTATTTTCCTTATATATTGACGTATCCCGGGGTACGGTAGGTTTTGCGGTGCATTGAGCAGAGATGTTCATGCTCTTCCCGCAGTTGCCTTTCCGGTTCTTCTGAATACGCCGCGGCCTCGGGCTCCAGAGGGCCTAAATTATAACAAGATTTAAAATTGTAATCCAAGGCTACCTCGTCTTTCATATTAGCGGCCAGCCAGTCGACGAGAACTTGGAATCTCTTAAAAAACGGCGTCTTAAAGATACTGGAACACTTACAGGCTTCCAGATTCGCAAAGATCTTCGAAGGGTTGTGTTGTTGCCTCGAGGCTGGAATAGTATGAAATAACTTAACTAAACGTTATAAAGCATTATTGCCCAGTCAATTAAGAACTGAAAATTTAAATTAGGGAAATCAGCCTACGCAAATTTCTTCTTAGCATTTGTTATCGAAATTTACATTTTAATAGTGGCTGAATGGAGAATAAACTAGTATTATGGATCCAAAAACAAAACAAACAACAACAAGAAATGCACCCGAAAGCTTACCCTTAATTTACACTTTTTCCAACACATCTCCAAGTCGCGCAATGACCATAACTTAACCTCCAAATTCTGGGCGTTGGCCCAGATGACATAACTGTCGTCCGAGTAGCGCAGCCGCTCCTCGATGATGGCGCGGCGACGAGCGATTTTCGCCTGATTTCGCATTTTGCTAAAAAATTTTTATTTTAGCATTGCTTTGAGAAATGGAAATGCGCTGAAGCAAGCACCGCACAACTTCTGGGAACAAGAAAAGATATTGCGATTTGATAATGGCCAAAAACCGGCTTAGACAACACTGCCGTCCGTATTGGCTACAAAAAACATGCCTCCAGTGGAGTGGATTTTGGGTAAAAACTGCTGGCCCAAACGCCGAGTTGCGGGGTGGCAAAATTGGCAACCGGCTACAACAACAATTCTAGGCGGATGAGGAGCCAAATCGGAACCGTTCTTCGATCTCAGCCAAAAAAGGAATAACTTTGCAGGGCTGGCGAGTAGTGGAAGTCGTTATGAAAGTATTATGTTCGTTCGTCCGTTCGAGGGTATGCCATAGCCGGAAATCGTTTTTCAAAATGTTTCTCATAGAGGGTGTTCTAGTTTCTTGATCCTGTCCGAAGGGATTCTCAAAATAGCTATGAAAAATATTTGAATCAAGCTACCAAAGAGAGAGTGAGAGAGAGCGAGAAAGAGAGAGACAGCGAGAGCGAGAGAGAGTGAGAGAGAGAGAGAGAGTGAAAGACAGAGAGCGAGCGACCGAGGGTATACAGAGAAGAAACCGGGCGTTATTCGAAATTTAAAAGATTTTTATCGGTAAACGATAAATAAAAAAACAACAAATATAATCAGTTTTTCAACAAGTTGAGGAAGTATCTTAGTTTAGCGATAATCATAACCACGTAAACAACGTCAACGTCGAAAAACCCATCGGGGGGTGAAGCTATTCTAACCTAACCCCCGTGTGGCCGCGGTGAGGGCATCGCCGGAATTGATGTGCATCCATCTTCCACACCGTGAAAATGCGAAAATCCACCGGAGAAATGAGGCAAGAGAACGGGGGCCGGGGAGGAGAACGAGCAGCGCAGCCCACGCAGAAAATGACCACCCACACACGGCGCGGCCAACAGGGCCACGAATACGCAAATAATTCGTGGCTTCCAATACATTTTAGGAAATTTACAGCTGGTGCAGGTTGTTTAGAGCGGCTTTTAATTAGCGGTAGCGTCTTTGAAGGGCTGTTAATTTGTGCTTTACATGCAAATTGAATTCGAGGTGTTCCTTTGATTCGGAAAACCATGAATTTACATATTAAGATTGGAATGCATGTAAAATTCAACACTGAAAACAACTGAAACAAAAAAACACTGCTCGTTTATCAAAATCGGGGTAAATTACCGTAATTTTCTAACCAAAAAACGCGCATCAATAGTAGATCGCAGTGGAAAAACTTTTTTAATAAAAAAAGATGCCTTTCATTGATTTCATTTTAATCAAACCATTTTAGCAATATGAAAGGAAGAGCGAGAGAAAGAGAGAGTGAGAGAGAGTGAGAAAAATAGAGAGAGAGACAGGCAGACAGGCAGGCCGACAAACGAGACAGGCAGAGAGCGAGAGATAGCGAGAGCGAAAAAGGGAAAAGACAAAATAAAATATTTTAGAAGCTTTAATAAATTTCTTCGAGATAATTACAGTTGAGGAACAAATCTTTATTGCAACTCGATAAAAGTGTCTGCATGTAACAGCTGAATTCCAAAAACAGAAGCCCCAAAAGAGGCTCGCGCAAAATGGGGGCGTTCGGAATCCCATCGGTCCCGGCCCATAATTGGTCTTATTTGATGTATCCCCCACACACGTTTTTGCCGTTCTTCTTGGGCCCCTCAATGAAAAGGCAAAATGCAGAGTATGCGCATGTGTGTGCTTTGGAGGCCAAGATTCTCAAGTTCAGGCGTGAAAGTTTGATTTTTATGATGTCGCGATGTAAATTGAAGTCAAGTATATCTGCAGTTATAGACGTTAGAGTCAAGTAAGCGGTGGAAAGCTCCGGAAAGTAATTAGCACCAGGGCTGAAAAGCCGCTTCGCGACTTTTCAACCCTGGCCCCGTCTTGGACCCCATGCTATTCCACCCTCTGCATAATTGTCTTCATTCCGGAGGCAAAAAAAATGAAAAACAAACCCTTCTGGCTCTGTATATAGACGACCGCCCACTACCGGTCTATTATAATTATTCCTAACAAAAATGTTTCTACATAAACCTAAATTTAATAGCGAAAATGGCTAATTTTTCAAAATCTGATCTGTGTGCAGTGATCCCTAGACCATTACGCACCTAATGACGTATCAAACGTAGCCTACTACCCGTCCGTTCTTGAGTTATCCTCCGGAGAGACAGACGGAAGTGGATGCAAAGTGGCACACACAGACAGACACACAGAGACAATTTTATATATTAGGATTTAGGACGTAGGCGTAGACTCGGTTGTAATTAGCCAGGTATTATGATAATTGAGCGTACAAATTAAACGGAAAACGCGAGCAGAGATAGTCGGATGGCGGTTAGATAAAAGGAGAGAAAGAGAGAGAGAGAGAGAGAGAGAGAGAGAGAGAGGGGGAGAGAGAACCGTTATGTTGTTTCCACTTAAACTTAATAATTTCCACTCCCCGAGCCGGCAGTCTTGGAAATTATTTCCCGACCAACGGCCGCATTATCTATAAATCTCCCCGCGTCAATTATTTTTGATTACTTGAGTTAGCGCTACACGAGAATTATTGAGTGCTGTTTTTTGGAAATTTTACAATTTTTTAAATATATAATGTTTTATTTTTGTCTTTCTTTCCATAGACATAATGTTCTGCGTAAATAAACAAATTCCAAGGTTCGTAAATAATAATCGAGGGCTGAATGAAATAAGGTGGTACTTAGTAGCATTTTCTCAAAGATTTGTTCACGACCAATAGATTAATGGCGTAATGCCGCATTTCCTTGGAGAGGTGGATGGAAAGCTCGAGAAAATGATTTCTTCCCCTCAAATACTGGGCGGTCAGGCATTCCGAGGCGTACGCTTGCAGTTCGGTGAACTAAAAAAATGGTGATTCAATTTTTAATTTAACGTATTGGATTGAAACCTGATTTTCGACATTTTTTAGGTTGCAGTCTACAAATTACAAAAAACCCCGATTTTTTTTGAGGAAATCCTGTAATGGGTGAAAAATGCCGAAAATGGGAATTTTTCAGGATTTTGTGGTTTGCAGTCTGTAGTCTGGCGGACAAAAAATACTTGATTTTAGACATTTTGTAGTTTTTAGTCTACAAACTACAAAAAACCCCGATTTTTTGAGGAAATCCTGTAATGCGGTGAAAAAAGCCGAAAATCGGCATTTTTCAGGATTTTGTAGTTTGTAGTCTGTAGTCTGGCGGACAAAAAGCCTGATTTTCGAGGTCGAGAATTAAATCGTAGGACGTATTCAGACCGTACCTTAATCCTGCAGCTCGGGTCTATGCCGGCCTCCATGACGTGCTTTTTTAGGGCTGGAAAATGGGCAACGCGCAATTTTTGCTAAATTTTCGCGAAGATCAATTTTTATGTGTGATTTTACCGAAATATCTTGAAAAACACGATCCGGCTCGGAGAAAGCCACCGTCTCGGCCCATTGGTGAACCTCGAATTGGAGACGTTGCACTTGTGAAGGGAATCCGGTCTGGCGGTAGAGCTAAAGAAAACAATATTTTGTGTTTAAGACTAAAACAATTTAATTTCATATGTCAAACGTACATTAATGAGTGAATTTTATAAATTAATAATTAATTATAGTGCACCAGATCTTGCATTACATAATACGATTTTCGTGAATCAATAAATATCATACTTAATTAATAACAAAATTGTAGATACATGAAGTGTAGAGCTCAACTTTTAATAAATCCATACCTCTAGCAACGCATCCAATTCCGTGATATCCCAAGTTAAATATTCCACATTTGGCAGCGGCGGGAATTGGCCGTTCCATTGAAATCGGAGCAGCTCGACGCCGAGCGCGTTTTAAACTAAATCACAAAAAAAAATTAAACATACAGAAAAATTAAAATAGCGAAACTTACCACATCGTACTCCGGAATTTTGTGAATGTGAAAAAGCGTTAAAACTCGTACAAAATGGCTCTAAAATGAAGTTGTTTAAGGTAACAATAACTAACTCCATGCCAAACAACTCGGGCTCGGATCCCTGACAGAGATTCGAGGATTTGATAGGTCCATTCGGCGGGCAGGTAAAAACCGGTGAGATCAAGGTGAGATATGAGTTTTTTGTGACGTAATCGATTGAAATCGATGAAGGCGAGGATGCTGGCCTGGAAAGGACGTTTGAGACCTTAAACGGGCTCCAAATCCCATAAATATTTTTGGGTCGAAATCAGCCGCAAATTTAAAGTAGGACATAACGTGTGCGTAGGAAAAAACAAGCTTCTAGCTTACCCCTCTCATCTGGGACAGAAAATTCGCCTCCGTCAGCTCGTAAAAACAATTTCGCATCCGGCACCGATCTTGCCAACAGAAGTTCTCGCCTCGCCGAACGTTGCTGCCCAGAAAGTCTTCGCGATGACACAAATTATCAAGTTCTCCGGCCTCGATTGGTTGTAACTGATTTATACAAAATTCGACTTACCCAAACCCCCTTTAAAAACAATTTCCGTATCTTCATTTTTGGGACGACCTTGTCCAATAGTGGCTTGGTGAGCCTTTGAAGGTCTGAGGGCCATTCGGCTCTAGAATTCTATTTCTAGAAAAATAATTATATTTTCCGTACTGTCCATTAATGCGCACGCGGTTTCGACCAAAGTAAATTTCCTCTTTGTCGGCCTGGATGCGCACATGGAAATCACAACAGTAGAGGAGCGCGTCCTCCTAAAATGCTTATCAGGCGTCAAAAAATAGTTTGCTATTGAGATTTACCATGTAAAATCGGCCTAAAAAATGTCGAAAAAAAGCTTAAACTTACCGTGAATTTGACTGTCTCCATAATCACTGTCAACTTGTTAATTTCATATGGTAGCAGCCCGCTTTTGAATACGTGCGTCCGCAGGTCTTGACTCGCCTTAAAGGGATATTCTAGATGCAAGAAAACTTACCTTCAGAAGCTTTAGCTTTTCCTCGGCAACGCATTTTTTGTAGAATTTGTTGGATCAGCGGTAAGTTTAAGCCTTCGATGTAAAATTTGGTCATTAGCCGAAATAGCTAATTTGTAGGTGAATTGTAACGATTTTTACTTGTTGTAGAGGATGAATCGATTGGCCAGGTGTATGGTGAGGAAAAGTTGTTTAGGGGAGTGATGGTCATTGCGGGCAGCAGATGTTGCCTGAGGCCATTTTCGCACCATTGATAGTTAGAGGTGCCTGGTAGGTATTGATTAGCCGGAAGGCTTGGCTGTCGAAAACGTTAGAACAGTAAAAATAACGTTCAGTTAAGTACTTACCAGACTATTACAGAATGTCATTCTGGACCTCCTAAGCCTAACAAGGGAACCTCCCGAAATCGAGGTGGCGTTTCGTTATGGGACCCAACCCATTTTGTGCCGAATTTTTCGCTGATTCCGAATCCGCTGCTCATTTTTGCCAAATAGCTCGTTTTAAAAAGTTTTAGCGCTTCAAAGTTCCATTTTTTCCCAAATTTGTCAACTTCAAAGCCATTTATTTTGCACTTCCCGGATGATTCATCAAAAACGAATATCGCCATCATATTCAGAAAATTTTTCTCTATCGAATGAGCTATTTAACTCAAAATTGTTGGAAATTGAAAAAATCGACGATACTTGGTATGGACTTCGTTTTTTGCATGGGAAATGGTGAAAAACAGGCTATTTCACACTCCCATAAGTGATCATCGATAGGCAGTAGCGCAGTAATCAAATATACCATTCGAATCAGAAAAAACTTCTATACAAGATAGGCTATTAAAAATCGACTGCCCTATTAAAATAAAAAAGTTGGGCATCGTGACGGGTGACCGCCCGCGGGCTCAAATATGATCTTAAAATCGCCATAACTTTTTAAATCGGGCTATTTGGCAAAAATTGAAAGCGGGTTCTGAATCAGCAAAAAATTTTGCACAAAATGGGCTGGGTCCCATAAGGAAACGCCACCTCGTCCTTAGGTGGTTCCCTTGTAAGCCCGACACCACGCTCAAACAGTTATAAGCTATTGATGATCAAATGACACCTATTATAACGGTGATTAAAACGATTGTTCCATTAAGTTCTTGAATAGCAAGGTATTCCAATAAAAATACCAAAATGAACAGTAAATTAGATTTATTCCACAAATTAATGACAACTTGAATCAGCGGCGAAGTCGCAAGAGAAGTAGCGCACTACTTGTTGTTCCTGAAATGCGGATAGATTTTGTGTAGAGAGAGAGAGAGAACGAGAGAGACAGAGAGATAGAAAGAGAGAGGGGAGAGTGAGAGAAAGGGAGAGAGAACAACCTACCGCTTGCAATATGAACCAGTTCTCAGGCCCATCCTTCCGTTGGCAATATAGCGGGACTGCAGCTGCCTCGTCAGTACAGTATGTTACTGTCCGAATGACGTTGAGGTCCTAAGCCATTCCATGGGCCTAAAAAACTATTACCTTGTCATAGAAACGATGCCTGGCGAGCGCATTAAAGTTCGTGGTGCACTTCAGCGTCGGAGAGACTGGGTTATCGCAGTTCCTAAAGGGCCGGTACTGGACTGTTAACGGGGGCGGGGAGACGCTTCAGCGACGGAATTTTCAGGGCAGTGGCCATGCGCCGAGAATAACAAAAACTTGACAAAGAGACGAAATAAGGGCTCAGAGCACCAACTGTACAAGCGCCGAGTCGACGTCCCGTTTCCGCTTGGCTCCGCTAAATTCAAATTGGCGTCACCATCACGATGAATTAGTTTACCCATTAGCCTGCAGCGTTTTGGAGTCGATCTGGCTTGGCCATACACAGCTGCACATATCTGAAAGCGCTAGCTTTTGAAAATTGACATAACCTTACTGTAAGGAGGCGTTGGGACGTAGGTGATTGGAGAGAAGGCTCGACGCTAAACTTCAGAAATTTCAACGACAGGTAGAAATACCGTAGTGCTGGCAGTGGAAACATTAGTGGTTGTACTTGCAGTACTCGGCGTACTTGTCGAAGTCGTTGTGCTAGTCGTACTGGCCGTACTGGTCGTACTGGTCGTACTAGTGGAGCTAGTCGTACGCGGCGAACTGCTCGAGCTTGTGCTTGGTGTCGCAGTTGCTGTACTTGCACTTGCGGAAAACGTCGCTTTGGCTGTTGTAGAGACGGTGGTAGTCGTCGCAAGAGTGGTGACCTTTAATGTCGTATTCTGCTCAGGTAGCAGCAGAAATCGATGAAAATTGGCCTCCTTTTCGCCTGTGAAATATCCGGTTCCAAATCCAACTCACCGTTGAGCCGGCCGCTGAGCAACTACCAACACCCAGAATCTTGCACGAGAAGTAGCGAACAATTTGGTGCTCCTGAATTCAAACACCTTACTAAAATCTATATGTATCCTACCGGTTCCACGATAAACCAATTTTCCGGGCCGTTGGCTCTCCGGCAAGTCAGCGGGGCATTGACGTCATCGTTAGTGCAATATGTCGTATTACGGATGATGTTGAAATCCTAAGAATAAATCAAATGGCGTGTATTTTTCTTTTGCTCTGTCTATTCCTCCTTCTCTCTCTCTCAGTCACTCTCTCTCTCATTCCCTCTCACTCTCTCTCACTCGCCACTCTCTCTCTGTCCCTCTCACTTTCTCTTTCCCTCCCTCTC